GTCACGTGACCTCGCTGACGCAACAATATATATATATAGATAATTGTATTGATTGTCACTTATAATGCCCCTCAGCTGAAAGGACAAGCATGTTCGGATATTGGCGAGTGCCCTAACAACCAGACCATTAAGTATAGCAACCACAGTTTTATTCATGTTTATATTCAGCTGTGGTTAATGCAAACTAGTGTTTGTCAAGAAGTAAGATTTATACCTGATACTAAAACACTGTGTATATAGTTTAAATGTTGAATTAGGGATTTGTAATATTTTTGGCCTCATCTTACTCGAAGCTTCTAAATTTTTCTCATTATATTTAATATTGTTATTATTAGATAGCTAGACACTTCTAGATTTTTCTGTCATGTTCTATAAATACTTGCAGACACAGAGGAGAAATAAGTCAGTGAAAGTTAGTGAGTGATACACATCTAGACTGTTTTTGTAAGTTTCGCCATAAATAGTGTATAGTGGAAGCTTTCAAAGTGTTATAATCACAGATTGTAATAAGAGATTAGAAAAAAGTAATTCATCTTGTCCACTGGGTTCTAAAGTAACTGAACCAGCCTGTGTGAACTTTTAATGAAAAAGAGATATAATTAAAGCTTTGGATACAACTGTGGTAACCCACTGGGTAACATAAGTGAACTTATCTCTGATTGTATTGTGATAACAGAGTCAAGGAGAATAATTCGCCTTGTCAAAGGGTGTTCTAAAGTAATTTATCCTAAGTGTGTTAGACTTTGATGAAAAAGAAACTTATTTCAAGCTCTGGATACAACTGTGATAACCAATACTGTATGAGTTTTTGTACATATGTTTGACTTGTTTTGAACATATTGTTTTAAAACAAAAGGATTGTGTGTTGTCCATTTATTGTTGAATTTCATATTGTAGTCCTCAACTATCCTGTCACAAGTCCTGGTCTTTCTGATTCCAGTTTTCTGACAACTTTCAACAGTGAAGTTCCATAGGTACAATAGATCTTCAAACAAATTCATTAAGTTTCCTTGCTAGAGTTTCTGTTTCCTTATTAGAAACAACATATATTTGTGATACTTTTGTGAAATAGTCAAATGTATCATACATTATTTGTTGAACTTTTAAGTTCAGTTTAAAGGTTTAATACAATCACAAAAATATCAAAATATTAAAGGTAAAAATAATTATGACACAATTTTCATAGATTCACACTTTATAAAACTTTTCACCCTGAAATGAAACAGTAATGAAAATATTAAATGGAAATATAAGATTGTGTTCAACAGAAAGTTTTACAGTAGACAAACTCAACTGTTGAAATATGATGGTATAGTATCACAACAATCAACATTATCCTGTTCAATAGAAAGGTTTACAGTAGACAAACACTAACACACAATAATTTCCAACTAAAGGTATCATAAACACACCAAAGATAGATCTGTACACATCAATCCTGTCTCATCTGGTTCAATAAACTTTAAACAATAACCACATTCAGAAGTAGTTACGGTTTGTTTCAAACTCTTTACAACACAGTAAACAAATGTACAGTTTATCCCAAGTGTTCATTCTCTGATGTATTTTTAATTTACTGTTTGTTTCAAACTGTTTTCCATAAACTGTGAAACTGTATGGTTCCTCTCCAAAGTGTATTCTTTGATACATTTTTAAGTTAGAGTTACTTCA